TCAAATGAAAAAATTATCTATGAATTCATAAGCTCGGTGCAATTTGAGAACAATGAAGCGAATTTTAGGGATGATAAACTCAAGTTTCGTCTGTTTAACCACAACCACTCCATCACGAAACTTGAGTTCGCCGAACATTTTGGTATTCCGGTCCCTTACCAAAAATCCATATCCGACAATACCGCTTTCGGCCATACCCTATGGACAAAGATGACCGGGGAGACTAAATTTAGCTCCTCCCAACTCTATATTAGTCATGTCCAACATCCCGTCCTCCGCCTATTTTTGAAATTCCTTGCCAACTGCTTGCTTGGACATCCCAACAACCATCACACTAGGATGGGGGATGTATGCCTAATGTCTGTGGCCCTTTTCCGTGTTCACGTGGATTTCAACCTGTGTAATCTTATGTGGGCACATCTCAAAAAAGAAAGCGTAGCCAAGGGCGTTATTGTGGTGGGTGGGGTGATTATGCACTTAGCCACCAAGTTCGGTTATACGGATAACTCTCCCATACCCGACTACTGTTTGATGAACATTTCTTGGCTAGGCCACTCAGGCTGTACATCTTTTTCACACACAGTTTATGGTGAAGAAAGACCCAAGAATATGTACAACTGGCTCATACACCCCAAACCCCTCAAATACTTCCTCCTGCCCAACCCAGAACTCCCCCAACTCCACTACAAAACAGCAGTAGAGGAGCAACATTACCTCTTCCCACACGCCCTTCCACCACATCTCCAGGAACTGGAGCAAGAACCTCCCCAACACCAACCCGATTACGAGCCCTATGCTCAACTCCATAGCCATCAAAACATGGGCCAGGACATCCCCGAACAAAGCCAAAACCCTCCACCACCCGACTTCTTTCAACAACTTCTGGAGGGTCAACAACAACTGCTTACGGGGTACGCCCAAATGAACGCAAACTACACGGCTATGGACAACCGGCTCAACCAAATACAGGAGGAGCAAAGGGCCGGTTTTCAGCGATTGGAGGAGCTTTGGGAAGCCGATAGACATCGGTATGAAGAAGACCAACGTAGGTTCTACGGACCTATGTACTCTTACATGGCACAGCAGGGATCCTTCCATACCATGGCAAACCCCCCTCCACCACCCTCGTGGTATGACCCCACTCATTGGGGTAACTTTGGAGGATCTGGCTCCAGGGGTGGAGGGTACGACGGCAGAGATGTCGGAGACACATATATGGGAGATGGTGGACAGGGGAGCGGCTTCGGAGGGAGCTACTACGACGGAGAAGGCGGGCACTAGGGACAGTGCTTGATTCAAGTGCGGGGGAGACACTCATGATGGTATGCAATTTTTATTTCCACCTAGCACTATGCATGTAATTCTTTTGAACTTATTACACAAAAAAAAGAATAAATAAAAGAAAATAAATGCTAGTTAGGTTGAAAACCCAACAAAATGGGCAATCTAAACAAAAAGGGCTTATAAAAAATGAGTGAGTTGGGGAGAATGGAAAATGAAAAGAGATGCTAGGATGAAAACCTGAAAAGGCTCCTAGGCAAAATGAGAGATATGAGAGAAATGTTTGTTTTTGAAGGCACTCATTGTATCTCTTTGAAGAATAAGAAGATTCAGAAAACAAAGACAAAGAAGAAGAGAGAAGGAGAAGAGAAGATGAACACTAGAAGGCCATTAAACCCAAGATGTCCTTTGTAATTTGAGTTTAAAACTCATTTTTTTCTTTGTCATCCTTGGTGGTCTTTGTGTTTGTATGTTGTCTTTGTTAAACTGTGGAAATTTTGGAGAAACTTGACACTTGTGAACATTTGATCTTACTCGAGACGAGTAAAGGTTTAAGTGTGAGGGAGTTGATACGCACTACTAGAAAAATGGTCTATAGTGACACTAAATTAGTGTCACTAAAAGTTTTAGTGACACTATAAAAGTGTCAACGAATGGTTGGAACTCTGATACTAAAAAATGTGTCACTAAAAAGTATCAGTAAATTGTGACACGTTAGTATCATAAAATATAGTGATACATTTGCATTGGTATACTTAACGACATTTTGATATCATATAAATTAGTGATATCACTGGTGTTACAAAAACATATGATACTCTTGCGTCATCCAGATTTATGATACTTTAATGTTTATAAAAATTATGACATGTTTTTGTCAATCCTTTTTTTGATACTATAGTATCAAGTATTAAACACGTTTAATACTCTTTTTGCACCACCATATATCCACCTAAAAGTTTAATTTTTAAACTTGTAAACAAATATAAAACAAATTCATAATCATTCAAAGTATTCCATAACTGTCATAGATTCAAATCAAAGTTAAGTCAACATGAAAATTCAAAGGTAAGTTAACCTAGCTTGTTTTCAAAACAAAGCAAAATCCAAAATAGGGCTGCAAACATTAAGTAGTCATTACATATGTTCTGGAAAAACATAAAGTACATCACAATCATCAAAATCTTATGTCCTTCCAACCATTTGTACTGCTTAACAGCCATACGAGCTTCACAAAAATCCATCTAGCACAAATTATTCAGGTTCGTCACTTCAGCCTGTAAAAATAATAATGACAACTATTTCAATCATCACACTACAGAAAATCCTAATTACTGAAAACTACATTCTTAACACACTTATCTCAATAAATAAAATTTCAACTTACTCATTCAGTAGGTTTGCTGCATATGAGACCCATTCTTCACGTATTTGCAGTATATCATCTTCAGAGTACTCATTGACTGTGGAGAACTAAAGCAACACCAAAACAAAAACTTAACATTGCTTTTAAAAAATACTACAAAACCAAGAATGAGAACCTAAAATCATTTCATGTGTAGGAAAAAAACTGAAGCATCACACAAAAACAAGACATTTGAAGGATTGCATTCTGGTAAACACATTCAAGAGGAAACACAATAATCTCACACGACATATCTCTCAAAATCCAAACAATAAATGGGTAGAATTCTAGTTTTCGTTATTAAGAACAACCTAGCCAATTGAGGGCTACTGCCCTCCAACAAGATGAGTCAATACTGAAAACAGAAAGTAACCAATGTTTAACAAACTGAACAAAGTTCGGGCAGATTGTGCTCTAAGCATGCATATCACATTACTAGCTATGGACAACAAGTCTTTTTTTATTCATCCACCCCTATTCATCCACCCCTAAGCACATGACAAAAACATGCTATGAACATGATTAATTAAATCAATAAATCAATAAATTTGACTCACATTATTCTTCAACACATCAACATCACCGATAATATCTTTCATGTACTTCATTACGAAGTACCCACACTCCAATGATCCTCTTTGCTTCGGGCACTACATACAAACATTTAAATTTGAATCTTCTAAAGTTTTATAAATAATGTATTTCAAAAAACAACTATTAAATGACATGGATATTACCTTGCATGTGATCCAGTTCAATTTCAACCTATCTTTTGACTTTAAAGCATGACACATTTGCACTCCTCTGAAAACACATAGTTAAGCACACAATTAGTTATATATATGAAGTCACAATGACTAGTGTACAACTTTAAGACTAGTCAATTAAAAATGATTTATGTATTAATGTAGATTCAACAGAGAAAATTGTGCTTTATTTTGACTTAACTGAGTGACAATTATCTTCACATCCTCTGGTGGAATTTCTCCAATGGAATCCAAGTAATAAATCATTCCCATCTCCACATCAATAGCAACCAACACCCAGTGGTCGCTGTATGAGAAAAATCCTTGACAGTTACCATCATATAAAAATAACCTTACCAAAATATTTTTTTCAAATAATAAATACCCTGCATTATATGGTAGTAGTGTAATTTGTCCAGGCAACCCGACACCGAGAAGGTCTACCACATATTGGGATCTTCTATTCATCGACTCCTCAGATGCTTTTTTAGGACGGTGTATTGCAGCAGATGTCCCGAACTGGACATGCATTTCTCCTCCATTGTCCACCATTTTTTCATGAAGGGATCTATATATATATATATATATATATATATATATATAGTAATGATTATATTGTCAAGTTTCAATTTCAAAAGTAATTTAAATATAAAAGGTAAATTTATACACACTTACTTGCACCAAAGTTCTATAATAGAGTTCGAAACCTTCTCACAGTTGATGACTAAGTAGCACATGTCCTTGTTAAAGGTAGTTTTGGTAGGGAACCCAAACACGTCTGCATCATTCTGGATCATATACCCGTCCCCCATGCATTTGTCAACGAGGAAGGAGAACATCTTCATGTTAACACTTTTTTCTTTTCTTTTATCTGCCAATGACCTCGTGGTTCGTTGCATATTCAGTTTTCTAGCAGGTGCAACCTTTTTCTTCATTTCAGGCCTGCTGCGTACTTCTACAATCTGTACACCACCCTTCTCCAATTCTAACCCCTTATCATGTACTGGTGCATCACAGCCTACTGGTTCTATCTTCTGCGAGAGATGGCGGGGGATCTCCTTGGGAGGTATTTACCTTGTCCACTCATTTTTGGACTTTGCATTTCAAGCTTCATAGTTTTTACACACTGTTCTTCCTCCTCTTCAGTTTCTAGCCTAGGTTGTCCTGCCAAATCTCCCCCTGCGGACCTATCTCCAAGTTCTGCTACCTGCCATGCCATATATGCAGATTTGAAATTTTAATTGTTAACATTTTCATTTCATAGTTTTAGAAGTTTTTAATACTACCTTTCTTTTTCCCATTTCTTCTCTTTGGACGTTCTTCATCATCATCAATTGGTGGCTTAGGTTGAGACCTTCTAGAAACAGAAGCCTCACATTTTTTATTAGGGGTAGTATCTGGCTTCTCAATCTCCTCATCAACCTGCAAAAACAATACCTTCAATATAACTTAAGCAACTTATAAGGTATGGCAGACTTGTAATTTATATAAATGAGTAGTATAACACCTTTTGTTTTCCATTTCCCCTAACTGGAGGCTTAATGCCAACACTACAGCTGCCAATATCACTAACACCAACAAGGGCAGTGATGTGTTCTTTCAACTCATCGAATCGTTGAACCATCATCGCATATCTTGTAGCACAAATTTTCTCCGCTTCTTCATGCTCTGCAGCTTTACCCATAGGTGTGTTAAAGTACTTAGATGTAGTGATGGAGCGACCTAATCCTTGTACTCTACTTCCATTTGGCCTTTTATCTAGGGCAGCCGTGAGTATGTCATTACAACCATTTGGAACAAACAACCCATCTTGAACCATCTTCTGCAGCTCTTTCTATAAAAAAAGCTATCGTAGTTAAAGTAAAATACAACTTTAAGTTGTTAAATCATTTCATTAGCTATCATTATAGTAGGTAAACCATTCCGGTGTTTGAGTTGGATCACTAGTGCCTCTCGCCCTACATGCAATCAATATAACATCTAGAAAGTGAATCAACTAAAAAATCTTCAGAAAATTTTCACTCATAAATAGAGCATAGTCAACCAATATTGACAACTATGTAGACAGTCAGTGAACACACTTTTAATCTGCCCACTGGAGTAAAAAGGAATAGCATTCATTGCATTGAAATTTCAAACTATCTTATCCCTATAAATAGTTAAAGTATTGGGAAATGTTACACCAATGCTTGCACTAGTTATACTCTATTGTACAACAATTAAGTTGATTAACCCTAACCATAATATTTATTCCAAATATATAATTTGAATAAAAGCTTAAGTGTATGATACATACAACTTTCTCAGCAATTTCTTTCACGTCCTCATCATATTCTCCATTTTTTTTCTTTCTTCCCAAAAGTCATGTATCCGCACGATCGATATCCTTCAGCATACCTCCAAGCTCTTTTTGCTATCAAATCAAACACACAAAAAAGAGTAATTCAAGCAAGTAGTGAAATAAATAAATCATTAAGCATGATTTTTAAGTAAGCATAAAAATATCATGAGACTTGAAGATAAACAATAAGAAATAAAACTCTTCAAATTGAAAATGATTAATTAAGGATGTAGAGATAAACCTTCTTCTTTAGCAGCCCTGCATAACCACCGGACCCCAACCGATGATTGTACCTTATATTCTTTCTTCTCTCCTTCGCTTTTTCACTTTTGACCTGCATGTTTGAATCATTACGTCAACCGTTTCAGTTTCATATTGTAGACAATATGATAGTGCAATTTTGTTTAAAATTAAATTCCCATATAACTGGCTTTAAATTCTTGTTTGAAAGTGTTTTTAACAAAGAGTCTCCATTCATCAGTTAATATGTGCTTAAACTCTTCAGGAGGAAACCACAACTTCTTGGAACCCTCCTTGTAGTGCAAGATAAACTCGTTCCGCAAAGTGAATCTGAAATTTCTTAGAGCAGCACTCATTGTACTAAAGACTTGTTTTTGAGACACAGGAGTCAACACAAGCAGTTTCTGCATTTCAAAATAATAAGAAATATTACTGTGAGTATAAAATAATATTAATATGTTAATTGGAAAGTAATCAGATACAGTGAACTTATTTCTTACACAAAGATAATTCCAATAGTCATCTTTTACTTTAGCAGGAACATTTCTCCAGTCATCATAAATTATGGGCACGTTATCCCTCACCACAACCCCTATATAATTGGATAGGTTGGTCCATCCATCACCCCAAAGAACACCAAATTCATTTACTTCCACCTCCACTCGGTCGTCAGAAGCCTTCCGAAGTAAATGTTTTTTTTTTGTCTTTTGACGCCTCTGTGGTCTCTCAATAAAATCATCTAGGTCATCCTCTTCACTGAAGTCATCCATGACTTCTTCACCTTTTGACATAGCTTCTTGTATCCTAAAAAGATCAAAGACATTTAATGTTATTACTCAACCACTTCAATGTAAAATATTACTCTAAGAAAAATTAATGAATTTATAATTACTTACCAAAAAGCCTAAAGAATAAGTCCAGCTTTGACTAATTACCAATACCTTGTGCATCCAAGTCTAGTCTATTATAGATATGATCATCATCCGGGTTTTGGGTATCAATAACATGAACGGGGTATTTTGATGTTAGGGGTTCATGAATTACTAGGTCATCAGATCCAAAATCTAAACCTTTATTAAGTATTTGACCAACTGAACACACAATTGAGCTTTTCTGATCACGTTGATCTTTTACGTAAAACACTTGTTTTGCATGAGAAGCTAAAATAAAACAATCTTTTTTGTGACCCATTTTTTTAAGATCTACAAGTGTGAAGCTCAATTTATCTTCGTTTACATGTCTACTATCCACCCAATCACACTTAAACACAACCCTCATAGTCATGAGATAGTGAAGAACCCAAATTTCATCAAGAACACCATAGTAATTCATGGAGCGTGTGGCTGGAATGCTATCCTTGGAACCGGAAACTAGAACAGTGTCTGCTACAAGGCTAACCCCGCTATTCTGTGTCACACGATTTGAATCTCGATCCTTTGTAGCAAAGCTAAAACCATTTATAATGTAGCCCGAGTAAACTGTCACAGTTGTGTTGGGCTTCTTTGACAGCCACCTAACTGTTTCGTCAACTATCACACCATTTGCAACATCAACTTTAACCTAAATAAGTATAGTTAGTATTATATTTAATATGTGATACACAAAACCTTATAGTTTGTAGGTATAAGTCTTAAGTTAATGACCTTCTCTTCAAACCACTTTGTAAAAGTACGATAATGCTCTGTGTCACAACACCCAATATCTTGTGCTTGTAGGTGCAACATATGATTCCTAACATTTTATAAGAGGAAACCGATCAGATATTTAATTTCAACAAAGATTACAAACAAGATTAAACTGTTAAACCTTAGGACTTACGTTATGTACGGTTGGACTTCCGGAGTATTGAATAAGACAGTTCGATGTGCTTGCTCTAACAGTGAGAGATCGACAATATGAGTGTCTCCCTTACCCAGAGGCCTTTCAATTGGAACATCATCATCACAATGTATAGGCAGCCCAATTGCTCTATGGTTGGAGAGATATTCAGCACAAAATTCAAGAGCTTCCTCTGCTGCATAACACTCAGCAATGCATCTCTCTGGATGATAATGATTACGGACATGCCCCTTTAACAGTTTCATGCTTCTTTCGAAAGGGTACATCCAACATAAATAAGGTGGGCCACATAACCGGATTTGAGCCACAAGATGGACCGTCAAGTGAAGCATGATGTCGAAAAAAGAAGGCACAAAATATTGCTCAAGGGAACACAATGTGACTCGATACTCAGCCTCTAGTTTGTCAAGTGAATCCATATCCAATACCTTGTCACATATTGCATTAAAAAATAAACACACACCAGTGTAGTTTTTCACTCCGAAGCCAAAAACAACATATCACAAAAACCCTTGAACATAATATAGCTACAGAACAAGAATTAGAAACATTTCAATAGAATCAGTTGACAACTTACCAAAGAAAACTTAAACCTCGACCAAATCAATAAAATCCCACAAAACAAGTCATATGATACCTCACAATTGGGAGGGATGAAAGAAAGATGTAACTTCCAGTGACTGCAATGGGGTATTAGGAACTGAGATGGGCGCTTTCTGAGAGCTTAATTCGTCGATGATTCTCTCGGGTTCAGCCAGCAAGAGGAGAGCTTGCGTCGTCAAAGGGGGTGGGGATTAATTTGATAGTTATCAGTTCGAAGGAGAAAGAGGAGAGCTTGCGTCGAAGAGGCTAGAGCATGCGTCGGTATAGCTAGGGTACTTACGAGCTTGAGCGACAATTCCCATTTAGGAAGAGATGAGGAGTTGGATGAAATGTAAGAGTGGGCTGAATGTTGAAATGTATGTATGTGGGCTGGATCGATCAGATGGGATTTGGAAAAAATGGTTAAGTGTTGGAGGAAATTAAATTAAGTGAATTGTTGTGGTGGGGCCAACAAATAAGGAGGCAAAGATGTGGAGGGAATTATAATGGATGAAAAAAATGGAGGGAATTAAAAAGTTGGAGCCAAAAGAGTGGTAGCATTTCGGCTCTAATATCACTATTTTTATTGATATTATAGTGTCATGAGTTAATGACACTTTTATGTCAATTTCAGTTAATGCATCTGTCAGTGACACTAATTTTAAAAAGTGTCACTAAAAAAGTGTCACTGTAAGACAGTTTTCTAGTAGTGACGTTTCTAATTTCCATATGCATGTTTGTGTTTTTAATTAGTTTTGCTTGATCTTTACTATGGAAATTACACACTTTTGGTGTAATAGATTAGTTTGTTAAATTCTTGTAAATAGTTTAGATTAGATATATTCTGAGCTCAAACAGGTCTTGATCACTCAAAGTACAGTTGGTGAACCCAAAGAGTGGAAAGAAGGTGCAAAATTTGAAGACAAAAGAAGGATCCTGAATTTTGGTCTATACTCGGTCGAGTATTAACAATACTCGATCGGGTATTAGGTTGAAACTTCAAATCGGATCAGATCCGAAGACAAGGGAAAATGCCGGGAGGATTTTGACCACGATTTAATGTCTATACCCGATCGGATAGACCGACATACCCGATCGGGTATGCCTTTGAGTTTTAAACGAAGATCGGTCGAGTATGGTCCGAATACCATTTTCTAAGCATACTCGACCGGGTATTAATATATACCCGATCGAGTATACTTATGGAAAACAGCCTGAAACCGATCAGGTATACTTATGGAAAACAGCCTGAAACCGATCGAGTATACCTCGGATCGAGTATTACACACATACTCGATCGGGTACCATGTATATACCCGATCGAGTACCCGAATCCCATCCCAAAAGCCTATAAATACACCTTCTTTCCTTCACAAAAAGATATCCAATTCCTTTGTACATCTAAGCTCAGTATAGAATAGTTCTTTCTTTATATTTTTCATCATGTTTAGTCTCCAAATGAGGAGCTAAACTCTTCCATCTTGGTTTTGCTACTTTGAAGCTTAATGAATTTGTAAATTGTGAGTTATTTTCTTTAATCTTCTTCTTTGAATATTAATTTTTCCTTTAATACTATCTCTATATCAAAGTTGGGGAGTGTTACTAAGATGACAATTAGTTAACATCTTGACATTGGTTATAGTAATAGCTATTTCTTCCTCTATGTTAATATTGGGGAGTGTTACTAAGATGACAATTAGTTAACATCTTGATATTAATCATAGTAGGATTCATATTCTTTAATATTCTTCCTTGAGTATTAATTAATTCAGATTCATATTTCATGTTAATATCTTAAACATTACTTAAAGCATCAACTAGTATTGTTTCTCATATTAATTATTACTAGAATCAATCGGTTAATACGCTTGTTATTAATCCGGTTGTTTCAACGGTAGTAAACTTGGAATATTAATGCATGCATCTCATGGTTAATATGCCAAGGGGAATTAGTTATATTGATTGAACCAATAAACCGCTTGTGTTGAGGTTATCAATCTCAATCGTTTTCATCTTAAGTTTATTGCTACTATCAAGTTAATATACGACGCTTGTTCTATATTAGCTCGATAGTAAGTTTTATTAATGAACGCACCTCGTTATTAATAACTACCCTCGATGAACTGGATATACTCCTCGATTGAGTATTCGAGAGGAAGATAGTTAAAGATATAACCGGGATCGACGAACATTTCATTATGTGGATAAAAGCAAAACCAAGTCCTCATCTCATTGAATTGAACTCATATAGGTTGTTTATCTTAGTGTTTTTAAACCAAACAAATCTAAACCCCCCTTGTTACTATTTATATAAAAGAAAAGTATTCCTTTCCCTGTGAATAC